ACACACACACACACACACACACACACACACACACACACACGCACACACGCATCCATAAAATAAATTAAGCACAAATATAATTTTTCTTCTTCTTCCTTCTCTGCTCTTTATTGAGAACAATAACGAAAGAACTGCTGCTGCTGTTGGAATTAGTTGATGACGTTGTCGATCCAGGAGAGCAGGTTGTGCACGTCAGCATACACTCCAGGGTTTCGTGGTGCGGCACAGCCGTAACCCCAACTGACCACGCCTAGACGAAGGGTGAGAAGAACGACATGAGGAATTGTCATGAGACAGAGACACACAATACAAGTTCATTCCAAGCACTTCCAAACTCACGTCGAAAAGGCAAATCGTTAACAAGTTGTTCAAGTGTTTGAAACCAAGATTGCAAACTTATTCTTCGTGGGAAGGGGATGTGAAAATGTGTTCCAGAGGTATGAGGAGATAGGAGAAAGGTTAGATATTGACTCATCCCTCTGCATGCGTATTAGTCCACATATAAGTCGTTTAGTTTCTACACGAGTAAATTACAATAAAGACATAGAACACCCCCCCCCCCTTTCCTTTTTTCTCCAACCCCGACCCCAAAACACTGGGTTTTTTTCTTTCTATTAATCATTGGGCAATACAAGTAAGTATAAATGAAGAAAAAGGTTTCGTTTCTCCCACTCTTACCCGTAAGTGTCCATTCGCCATTTCTGTATGTGTACAGAGGGCCACCACTGTCACCCTGCAAAGGAAGGTAAGTGAAAGAATTGGGTGGTTATAAAATGTACAGAAAGGTGACCATAATAAGAAATAGAATATTCTGGTACAGTATGGTATAGTGTGGTATGCTAACTAACGCTGTGATTTGGTGTGTTTTGAAGGGTGAAGTGTGGTGTGGTGTGGTGGGGTGTAGGTTTTAATGTGTCCTTTGTTATGATATGGCTATTTTAGGTGTGAGACCAGCAACTTAAGATTGATGCACATTAGAACCTTGTCTGAGAGTAGCAAAATACTTTCAGATCACTCTGATAAAAAAAGTAAGCTTTTGGTATCTTTTACAATCACATAAAAACTCCATAATTCTCCTTTTCTATTGCCAGTCGATCGCCTCCGAAGTCCAGGTCACAGTAAGAAGAGGCATGTAGTTGGAACAGGCCACGAGGAAGAAAGTATGCGTTTTTAAAGTGTTGTTTTTTTTTTATTGGATAAGTGTTTTATGGCGCTCACAACTGCGTATTAATAAGGTCATGTGAACACAAGGCACACCTTAAACAATTTTCAGTAGTTAGGAAATTTTGAATTTTGCCCAAGTGGCGACCAATACCTACCCTTATCGATTTTGGACCACCAAGGGATCTTCAATGTACGCAACTTGCACTCGGGACCTACGAGATTCTTCGCCCTTACATGAGAAGGCAAATGTTAGATCTAACCTACCATAAGTCAGGAATGTAGCTGAAAGACAGCCGTAAGAAGAAGCCAAGGAGTAGCAGTAGAAAGGCTGCAGAAAGAGTCAGGAGCCCAAAGGATGGGGCAAAGGAGGTGAAGGGATGGGGGCAGAAAGTAGAGACGAAAGCAGACAATAGAACATTCTTAGAAGCAGGAAAGAATGTTAAAGAAGAAAATTTAGAGAAGAAAATTGTCCGTCTCAATCCGGTTTCGCACCCGGGACCTCTTGAATGAGAGGCGAAATACACCTTAACCTCTAGACCACGAGAGCCCCCAAAGTACGTGTATAGATTTATGTGAAACCGTTACACTGAAAGGAACGACACACAATGAAAGTGCTGAACTCACAAAATTTCGAGGATGGTTTGTCGGTGAAGTTTGTTTTTCTTTCTTTACTATTTCTATCTGTTTCAAGTGATTTTGCTGGTGTAAAATTTATTTTTAATTTTAAAATTCCATAAAATTAAGGGTGACCTTATAGGAGTCAGGTTTCCCTTAATCTCCATACAGAACTACACAGAACTGGGAATAACACGCAAATACTTTGCCCAGCAAAAGCCATTTACTGTTGTTCCAATTTTTTAAAATTGTTTTATTTGTCATTGCAATCTGTTCTTGTTGAGAGTTGTGCGTTTTAATCAAACATAATAAATATACTGTTTCTGGTAGCAAATGATTTAATGTATATTGCAAATCATTTACACTTTCTTCACTCATGAAGGCGGAACAATCTGAGCATGTATTATTTTCTCTTTCTTTTTATTGTTTTTTTTTTGTTTTGTTTCATCTGATAAGGTTTTGAATCCTTTCTCATAAGGAAATTTTCTCATATGTTTTAGGGACGCGCAGATAGCTAAATTCGTGTTATGTTGTTACTTTTGTTGCTATCATTGTTATTGATATTCGTTATTGCTGCTGGACCTGCTGCTGCTGTTGATGTTGTTGTTGGTGGTGGTGGTGGTTGTGGTGGCGGTGTTATGTAGCTGTTGCTGATATTGCTGTTGTTGTTGTTGTTTTTTCTTAGATTTTTTATTGATGCTGTTGTTATTGTTATTGTTATTGTTGTTGTTGTTGCTGTTGCTGCTATTGATGATGATTACTGTTCGTGAATCCTTACCTGGCAGGCGTCAACACCTCCTTCTGGCTCCCCAGCACACATCATGGACGTGGCGTCGAATTCGAGTGGGTAGCGACTGGAGCAGGTGGAGTCTGGTTTGATTGGCTTATTTACCTGCTTGAGTTTCGAAGCCATTTCACCTCCTGGGCGATGAGAAACAGATTGAATTATGTTGATCTAAACAAACATGTTCGCATGCGTGCGCGCACGCACTCACGCACGCACACACATTCAGACACACACACAAACACATTTTCAGACACACACACGCACACACACACTCACACACGCACACGCACACACGCACGCACATATATAAACACACATTAATACACACATACAAACACACACAAACACACACGTACATACACACGTCCATCCATGCACCCCCCTCCCCCCCCCCCCCCCACCCACACAAACACACATACACACACACGGCAGAAGATATTCGGAGACGTCTCCGGCGAGCACCCAGGAACTATTCGGAGACACACTCCCGCGCACAGATACACTGCTTTTTTATGGGGGTGGGGGTTCAAACTGCGCATCGTTTGCTGCAGATCCCCGTATAGCCACTAAAACTGTGACAAATTAATTATTTCCAAAAACATTTCAAATCTAACTGCAAAATATCAAATTATGGGTTAAATGCCCCCCTGTAACCCCCCATGTTTTTTACTTAGTCTAAAGGCACAAAGCATTTTGAATGGTCTATCTCCGTCGTAGACGTTTCCGAATAGATACTGCGCGCACACACATACACACACACACACACACACACACACACACACACACACACACACACACACACACACACACACACATGCGCACGTGGATACCGTAAGAAAGGGTTCCCCATCCTGCCACGATAGCAGGCTCTCCGCCGAAGTAAGCCTTGCTAGCGATACACGCTGGTTGGACGTAGTCGTTTGTGGGCGGTTGAGTCGTCAGGGTAAAGATGGCAATGTCGTTCTCAAAGGTGACGTCACTGTAACCCCCGTGCACACTCATTGCACTGAAGGTCAGGAGCACCTGCAGAATTGAGATTTCCACTGTTACTTCAAAAGTTTCCTTCAATTTCGGAATGATCGAAGATACAGTTGAGTCATTTTTCTTAGGAGGAGCACCGAAACCTGGGAGAGAGTAGGAAATGGGTACGGCAAGGGCACAGGGGTAACGGACAACCACTGGGGGACTAGGATGTCGCTGGATCCACTCAAAAAAGGTAACTATCAGAGCTCATGTCTCGAGTCTCCTTCTAGCCAATAGACTTGCAGCTGACAGAAGAGGAAAAAGGAACAAATAATGTAATTACTCTAAAGTACATATCAGTTCCTTAGATCTGACCTAGGTGTCCATGTGTGTTACTCAAGTCATAAGAGGTTTTGCTCCTCCTGCTGTAGTATCTGTATAGTACTTGATATCACTTGACTACTTGACGAGGGGGGGGGAGGATGGAGGAAAAGGCCTGCTTGAATTCCTAAACGATATGTTTTAATTTGTTTGCTTTTCGAACAGACAGGAAACGTGTGCCATGTATTTAACCTTGCCCCCCCCCTTCCCTCACTTCTCTCTTCCGTCGTGAGTGCCGCGTGTAAATATCTACATATGCGTTCGTGTTTGTGTGTGTATATGTGTTTGTGTGTATGCGTGTACGTGTGTGTGCGTGTGTATGACGTGTATGTGTGTGCACGCATATGCGAACTCGGCAGGGTCCATGTCTTTCTGTTTCGCTAATGTTTCTTTTGTGGAACAGTTTTCGAGTCATTATCAGGAATGGCTAGGAGAACCCACAGATTCTGGGTGTAGAGCATGGGACTTGCTTAAGACGTGTTGTATTTTTGAAACCTGACGTCATCAGGTTGAGCGTGCCCTTAGAAAAAAATATTCTAAGCTTTTATTTTCAAATATCCTACATACAGAAGGTCATAGTTCATGATTCCGACACCGACCCATCAGACTGAGCCACTGTTTGTGACCACCCAGACTGATAATCAAAGCTGGAGAATTGGTATGACGGCCAACGGAATCAAGCGAGATTTCTGTCGTTGAAAATACAAAGCTTTAATTATTTAGATATCGCTCTGTATTTCAACCTATTTTTTCGAAAAGTCAGCTGTGAATCGTTTCTCTGTATTTCTTTAAAGACCATTTTTGGCAGGGCCTATTAATAAGACTTTCAGTCCGGAGCAGTCGCTGATGAGGCTATGTGAGTGATATATAATCCTTTAACTAGTGGGTGGTTGGCAAGTGCTCTGGTGTGTTTACCTCTTTCTTTCCTAACAGTCTATCGTAATTATTATTCCTCCTTCTTTTCTTTGTGTGTTACTAGCTAGTAATGCCTCTAATATTCGGCACCTATATGACCAATTTGGGTTGCTAGTACCGTTACATTCTTACAAATAAAAATCCGTCTACTCACACTGTTGGGGTTGCTACCAGACATAGAGTGCATTCCGCAGCGGGCCATGTAGTTCCTCGGGCGTCGTTGACTGAAAAGAACACATCAACTCTTATGAAGACGTAGAGGACACAATATATTATGTCTTAAACAGAGTACCAAAATCAATGATGCTACACATTTTGAACCAGTATACAACAGAACAACATATTTGGGGAACCTAAACAAATGGGTAACGGGAAACGATCAGGGAAACGTGGCTTTTTTTAGAGTATCCGAGCAAAGGAATGAATGGAGAACCATGATCGCCGATGTCTGTCGTAGTTCTGACACTGGATGATGATGATGATACACAAATCAGAAAAGCACATTTGCTTATTCCATGGTATAGATGTTCTTACCCGACTTTTTAACGTTTCAGATAAAGAAAACAGAATTTCAAAATCGGCATAAATAAGGAAGTTGTGGCTCTTTTGAAAAGTACCTCAAAACAGTGCTTTCTCAATAAGTTAACTTTGCAATAATTACCACAGAAACGAGGCTGGGCAAGAATAGACTATGAACAAAATTATGGTACCGAGTTCTACAGCGCACAATGATAAATTATTATAATAGATTTACATATTTTGTTTGTTATAGGCGAAGCTTAAATTAGGTTAAATATTGTTTTGTAAGATGAACCCCTCCTCTCTTTCAGAAACGGAACAAAACCTCATTATCAGTGTCAGTGTCAGTGTCAAAAAAAACATTTACTACCACTCGCTTTTTCATTCGTCATAAGTTACCACATTTCCTTAAAACAAGACTTAAGGTAATGTTTAATGTAATTGATGCCATCAGAGTTGCTACAAACATAAAGTGTCGCATCTAAAATAGACAAGTGATCCATCCCAGGAAACAATCTTGGTCTATATTAAAGAGTCTGTACTGTTAATTAGTTTTTTGAGAGCTTGTGATCCTAAAAATTCCAAATGTTTTTCCTCAACTCAAAGATTGAAAGCAACACTATGGGCCACTCATCTATTTGAAATAGGTACTAGACAAACGACCTCAATGGTGCCGACGGTTACATTTTTAATATTGCCACGTTGGGTACATTTTTAGGGAAAGGCATACTAGTTGTGTACACAAAAAGTAGGACCAAACCTTGCTCATTAGAACCCCTATTTGAAAACG